TTCAGTTCATCGAGGAGCAATGGTGCTAGCTGTGTTGTTTGTTGTAATAGGTTTCATACCTATTTTTGTTGAAGTCCAAGGCTACAGTCAGGTTCGTACAAAGATTTGTTTGGTTAACGTCTGCTGTTTTGTTAATATGATATGCAGACCAAAAATTAATGTGTTATGAAATTAAATTTTGTGCTTATAAGAACAGATTTTGTAATATTCGATCAGTTTAAAAGAGAAACCTTTCGCTGAAAAAGTAAAACATTTCGAACAATTAAAATAATGGCTTACTTTACCTTTGAATTAAACACACTACGTAAACTGATTATTCAAGATATTTTTGAAATGGTTCCAAGATGTGGACTGGTTAACAGAAGATCCATTAAAAGTAGGCCGGTTCTCGCACCAACTAAAGTATAGTAAATATGGCACTTAATTATTTCATCATTTAGAAACTACAAGATTTACTAAATATATAATGACATTTCATCGAATGTTGTCTTGATAAAAAGTTCAAATGTATACATATGCATTTTCTTCACCCAAAGTTTAACTTTAAAGTCCCTGTATTATTTTCAGATTATAGAATCCGGCACGGCTCATCCTGTTTTAGGAATTCTGGTGACGGTCTTGTGTTTCCTCAATGTAAGTTGTTAACTTATTACCCTATTACCTTGTATACGAATATATGTATGAAATTGATTTTTTTAAAATTTGATTTACAATAAGATATATTGGTTGGTATTCTTACCTTGCCGCGCGTGTTATTCAAACATTTGCACAATTTGGCGTTGCATGATTTGCGGAACTCCTACATCATTTTCACATTCCTGCGTTACGGACTTTGACGGTGGTAAAGATAAATAATTATTGTTACGCTAGGTTTTTAAAGCAATTTGTTTTCCAGTTACTTAACAGGAAATCATTTTTTTTTTCGTTCAATTTGGACAAGAGTGTCTCAATTATATGAGCCTTTTAACCCTTACCTTGTTGTTATTGTAAATGACAACACTTTATCACCTGTCCAGGCCAGTCTGAACATCCATGAAATCTGAGCGTGCGCAATACTGTTGGTAGCTTGGTTTTTTTTTTATTTTAATATTAATCAATATCATTTAAACTTTTATGAACTTTCCAAATTAAAATCAGGGCACATTCAAATATGCACTTGACAAATGTACACGATTTACCAAACGGGACTGCATTAACTGGTCGTATTACGCAATAACGGGGTTGTCTCGATATCGGTGTTGGCGACCATTGAAATAGAGAAGGAAAAATCGGGTCTGAAAAAATTGTTCTCATTAAATAGCGGGTTGGTCTCAAAATCGGGGTGGTCGCAAAGCGTGTTTGTTAATATGTATTATGTATATGTATTAAAAATCTGCAGGTTACGGGTTGAAGAATATTTAAAGTAAATTTAATGAAAACACAATTAAATGCAAAACTATGATTAAAGAAGACGTATAAAGAGATGTTTTTATATTATATTTTAGCCAATTATGGCTCTGTTTCGACCTGATGGTGACCACAAATTCAGGTGGATCTTCAACTGGGCACATTTGGGTGTCGGTGTCATTGCACAGGTGTTAGCCGGTAAGACAATAGAGAAATTAGTTTCATATATTAACCTCTTATCTATGACTATAAGTAATTAAAAAAAAACAATTAAAGTACCAATTTGAAGAAGAAAATATATATTTTTGTTTAAGTAATTTGTTTAAGCAATCAGCCGACACCATACAGTTTAAAAAAACGCCTTTTAAAGTTTAATAACATAACTTAGCAATTCAATTCAATTCAATCCTTATAGTTTATATCATGTAAAAAGTTGACAGCAGCTTTAAAGAAGAGAAAATTTAAGTTACCTTGATATGGTTTGTAGATATAAGAAATTGAGCCCCTGGGTTTGAATCCCGATTAGAGCTTGTGTTCTGGATCTATTTCTTACTCAATTCGTCCATTTACAAATTTGACTTTTACATCTTATGTGATTTGATACAGTGTGTCATTAACAAATAAAAAGATCATAAAAATACATATAGATTTACATTTAGCTCAAACATGTACAATGTATATGAAGTTTATTTTCATTTATATTTGTCATATCTTAGATGAAATTATAAATTGTTTCCGAAATCACTGTATCTAGTAATACATAGGTCTTTTTATCATTTTCCTTGCGCCCTGTACTGTGTTTGTTTGGGGTCCTCCTCTGGGCTCCTTGTCGCTGGGTCGTGTTGGGGTTGCGTTTGTTGAACGCTGCATTTCCTGATTGATCTTGTTTATCATGTTTTATCATATACCTAAAATAAAAAAAGGGAAACAAATTGACATTTTTTTCACTTCTGTTTTAGTTGTGACTGTTTTCCTTGGATACGTACTAGAACGTTCTATGATGCCAAACGAAGCTATCTACGTGACCATTACACATCTGATCGTCATCGCTATCATCTGTGTAGTCCTCGAGATCACCAAATGGAAATCTTATATGAAGCAAAAAAGTAAATATTATTTCTAAGTGCTTTCTACATTTTGTATAAGTGATTACATAATTTATGTTGTTAAATAATGAATGGGTTAATACATGACTCATTGGTTATTTTTATGTCCCAAAATATACATGAACACTTCTTCTTGTTTGAATGCCTTTACAAAATACAGAGTAAGCACGATGAAAACCAAGTTATTTTTTCAACACTTCTTGTATTTCCTGAATTACACTAACCTATTAATACCAGCAGGGACAGAGTGAAATTTAGCGCACTTACTATGAAGTCGCTTTCATCCGCTATCAGGGGAAAACCGAAGAAAAATTAATAGTATCTAAATAAATTATACGCGGTCTGAGATAACATGTATGATATGTATAAGTTAAATTGAAATCACATTTTAATCCAGTTAAAATATAATGTCTTATTATAACATGTTAGAGAAAAAGCCTTAGTTAACTGGACGCTGCCAATTTGAAACTCTTGGACTGGTACTATATTTGAGTTGTAATTAGATTTCAAGACGCTTTTGAAAAAAAAAATGTTGTTAAAGCGCCAACAAAATTCAGACAGTTGCTAGTGGCAGTCTTCTGTCCCGAAGAAGACTTCCGGTAGAAGTATGATGTAGAAAATCAGTAAATAAACATTATAATCATTTAGAAGAACTGAAGTAACGATGATGAACATAAGAAATTACTTTTTAATATCCATTTTGATAAATCATCACGTTTGAATAAATTAAAAACTATTTTGATTAGAGATTAACAAAATAAGCGGATGAGATATTCGGAAATACTCGGAATACTTCAATGATAGGCTGGACATCACCTATTCATTCGTATCTTAAAATCTACTCATTATTTGACATATCCTGTGTATATATTGAACACTTTATGCTTGTTATTAAATCATGAAGGCTTTCTGCGTCAAAGGTAGCTCCTAATGTCATATTACAATTGTACGAGTACTTATTTTCAAACATAGGAGAAAAATTAAAATAATTTGAAAACATACGAGATACACGTATAAGAAAAGATCTATTTCATTGCTCCTCAATGATAATGCATTTTAACTTAAACTTTTACCGCATGAGCATTTTATGAAAATGGCTGTTTTCATTAAAAAGCCTCCTGTTACAAGTTCAAATCGCTATGAAACCATAAAAAATGTTTCAAGCTTGCATGACACAAATGTTGGTTAGACCATAGCCTTTGTAACAGCATGCTGAATCTTAAACTTTCTATTGCCATGACAAAGAGGGGATATATCAAAATTGTCGAAAATCACTATTTTACGTTGATTTTCCCGTCAAAACTGAATTCAAAGTGGTCAATGGATTGAAAAAAAGTCAAAGACTGTCAGCGTAGGCTACACGTTACCTTAAGATCTACCTGGTGCCATTTTTATCCTCTCACAAGTTCAAAATTTTCTCGGCGATGAGTGGGGCGACAGCCCACCTGCAACCCCTCCAGCAGAAGAGGGCACCACCCCTCTTGCACCCCAATGATGTATCTCTTTTAATAGGAGGAGGCGCCAAAAAAGCGAAAACGCCAAACTAGTGTTTGAGGCCCAAATAAGGCATTTTTTCATTACTTGAGGCCTCAAACGGGGGGAGGTTGAAAAGGTGAAAGCACGTCTATAGGTAATGGGTCAAACAGAAAAGGATTTTCAAAAAAAAAAAAATTATAATCGCTATGTTTTTTCCCACACATTTATTAACAGAGCAAGTAGAAGACAAGAATGGAGTACTTCCTGAAGATATCGAGATGAAAGAGGTCAAGGACGTGTCAGAACCTCCAAAACCCTCGGTAAGTTTTTATTATGGTAAAAAATTGTTTTGCTTTTTAAATTCAAAGCATCAGACTTTAAATTTGCCTCAGCATTGCTTTAGATATTTGCTAAACATACAGTACAAATAATTGTTATATTCTATTAACTGCATTTTTATACAAAGTTTATACGAGGTCACTTTGTATAAAAATATGATTTTCACGTGTTAGTGTCATACCTTCACAAGATTAATTATTATTATTATTATTATTATTATTATTATTATTATTATTCGCAAATGTATTATGTCGCTATGGATGAAATATGATAGATGAATATGGTAGATGAAATGATAAATTTGAAAAAAAAAAGAAATAAGCAGCATTAATTGTGTCCCTTTCATAACACGTAGATAAAATGAAAAAAAAATTATACTTACCTAATTTCACACAAATCTAGTTATAAAACGAAATAAGATTGATGTATAAATTTAAGGCTAATGCATGTAAGTCCTACTAGGAATTAAAGTTGCAAATTATTTTATATGCCAGTTGTTTTAGAAAAATCATATTATGTTGGGCGACATTGGCCTTAACATGCCTATTTATTTGATGACTAATTAATATTGAATATTATTCATTTCAGGTCCTTCCGTTTGCCTTGATGTTGCTCCTCGGTGGATTCTTGTTTGGTTCCGCGATGGCGATCTTAGTGATTATAGCTGATAGCTAAATCCGGGAACCAGTAACTACCGGTTTCTGTAGTTCCATATTCCCTCACATACGCTAGGAACCAGAAATATTAACACCCGTTTGTTCTGTGTGCTAATAATCATCGAATTGTATGTTTCCTAAAACACAACAACGTTTTTGATGAATTAAAAAACTCTTTACATGAATATAAACAGCAAGCTAGTTGTAGTTGAATACTGTTTTGTGTGCCATAGAATTTTACTTTTCATACTGATTTGATTACAACTATACATTAGATGAATTCTTACCAAAGACTATCCGTTAGTTTGAATGAAACAGTGGAAAAAAGAACCTTTTAGATAATAGGTGCTTGAATAACTTGTACATTGTGTGTTTAATCATGTTTTTCAAACTATTTTGTTTATTTCATTTGTTAGACTATTAACGCTTATAACCATTCACCTGCCGGAACAGAATGTTTAAAGCCTTTACCGCCAGTTTGAACCCAGACCATCCGGTACATCTCCTACGCAGTCAATCTCCTACGCAGTGATCTCCCCTTATCAGCACAATCTGCTAAGGGAGGTAATCACTGTGAGGAATTTGTCACACAGTCTGACTAGGCTCTATACTGTGGGTTGCTTAAAATTTTGTATTTTGATACAAAAATCGCGTGAATTTTGAATGGGCGGTTCTGCTTTTAAGTCAGAGCAAGTCCATTACACAAATGCAGAAGGTTTAGAACTAAAAGGCCAATTATGCCTCAGATATGCCACTGTTTTTATTTCTAAAAAACTTTATTTTTTATATTTCTTTACAGTTTCCAAAACATTACTCATTTGTCATATAGATGAAATAAATTTGCTTTGTTGTTTTATATATATGAGAAGTTGGTATAATTATAGTGAATAAACGTTTGTGGATTTCTGAGACATAATGTGCCTTAAATAAGAGTTAATATATGTGAGTAATTGCATGAATAATACAAATATAGTATATTCTGCTTTGTTCTAAGCGATGCTCAAGTGTTAAAATACGCAATTTGAATGTGATACATTTACATATAAGTTCTGTCTTTGTTTATCTTTTTCTAATAAAATTTATACATGTATAAATATATCGTTTGTTTTATTTTGCTTTTTGTGCAAACACGATGTAAAATATACAATGTAGTAAGAAACAAAGTTTTTTCCTTAAGAATTCCATATCAATGTGACATAATTCAGCAAGTGACATGAAATAGTAGCAAAACCAGCTTTTCGGCAACTTTCTACAATTCTGCCCAAACCAACCAAATTCCAAAACCTTGAATGGTATCAGGGCACTTGATGACTTTCATTTCGTGAAGGTTTGGATAAATTCCTTAAGAATGGAGTTGTTTATTCGGCTTCAAAGCAGCCGAGTCTTTTAGAACTTTGAAAAAGACACATGATTTACTGCGGAATGACACAATTAACTTTGTGAGTCATCAATAAAAAATAAAGTTTCCTTTTAAAAGGAAAGGCTTGCACAGTTGTGCCTTCATCCCAACATATTTATTTGTTTTTATTTTTGTAAAAACGAATATTTTTGTCAAAACGATTTGAAATCTATTCTCTATTGTATAAAACTAATAAAGAAAATAATCAATCGTAAAAATACTAACGTGAAGATCTATCATACTGAAAGGAAACAAGTGTGCACATTTCATTTAATTAATAAGCATGTTCCCAGATACGATGCGCTATCTATAAATCGTCACGTGGTAAGGTTAATGATATGCATGGGCTATTTTTAGATTACCTCACCAAGTTCAGTAGATCTAAATATAACTCGATCATGCCCTGTGTGATTTGGACCACCCTTTGAAGACGGAATACTACTACAGTCAACATCCTCTATTGTGTAAAACTAATACAGACAAAAAACAATTATAAAAGAAACTAACTTTTGCGTCTTGAAAAAGAATTGAAACGGAACAATTTCGTTTATAATTTATTACGGTTTAAATCAATAAATCAAGTAAAAATACGAATCCTATTTATATAAACAAACTGGGATTACCGAAGTACTAAAATAGCTTAGATTTCCGTAATATTACTTCGTCTGATTCCGCAGTATGACGGAATCACCCGAATTGTCACGATTGCAATCGGAAGTACATCGGCTATTATCATTAATCCGAAGAGTGACGGAAAAGGCCGAAAAGTTGCGATTGGCACGATTTCAGCTGGTTTCCCGTTCAATCATGCACTTATAAATGTAAGCAGAAAACCACCTAACCGGAACAGGTTTTCCAAATGAAATGGCTTGCAGCCGTGGCTGCAAGCCAAAAAGTACAAAAATGTAAATAAAAACATTCACATACATCAGCTTTACACTTCAGGATTAATTTAAGATTTCTTGCTTTGTTGCAAAACATTTTTATTTACATTTTCCTCAAATAGAAATAAACCAATGTTCTCTTATCCCCGTATACATATAATGGACTGTGCAACTGTTTGTAGTTTACCGAGATTTGATACCGTTGAACCAGACTCTAAAATCAAATTTTCATCTATAAAAACAAAGGTAAGCCTAAAGGGGAACTGTTTCACATGAAAAAAAAAACGCATTGGTATTGCGTTGGATTAAACATCTAAATTTTATAATCTATAATCTAGAAAGTTAACTAGGAAATAAGTTTGTTTTGTAGATAATGACTGACCTATACATGTATACTATGTTTATGCACAAATGTGATTTTTATGTTGTTGGTCATTTGATTATTAAAAGTTTAGATATCATTTAGTTGGGATAAAATTAATAATGTCCAAAGCATTAGGATAAACCATTATAAGCGTGTCTGACCTGTCTATGTATAAGATACATCGTGTCGGATTCCTGGCACAATACTGCATTGACTTAAGGGTACCTGTCATCAATGTCATGTCACACTATATAAACGAGCACTACTGGAAGGATGAAATAAAATTTTCGTGTCTTTATGTTTCCCTTTTATTTTCAACAAAACAGACATCCGTATACGTAACAATTTTTTGGTTATTATAAAAGTATGCAGTGCACAGCTGACGATTCCTTCGTAGCCATTTTTATGCGTGTGTAAAACCTCGCTTGTTGTAAACTGTGTTTACAATTTTTGGCAATTCGTACATTCAAAACTGAGTGAATTGGTAAACCTCTTTTGAAAGTTTGTGAATGACAAGAATCTGGACCGGGGGCATTCTTGTTTTCAACACTCCTGCGTTGCGGTGATTATGATTTTATGCTGAATGCGGAATCTTGCTGTCACGACTTTCATAATTTAACATACTTTAATTAAAATAAAAAAGGGAAGTAAATAATTACAAATGTACTAACTTGTGCAGCGGTCGGTAAATACTCTGCATGACTTTTCCTCGTACGGTAAAAATTACTTGTAGTCAATATAAATGTATATAATAATATTTATTAAAGTTTCATCCATACATTAACAACATATAAAATACATGTAGTTCAATTACATAATTGTACAAAGTGTACCGCCATTCTATTCTGAATTACAAGAGTCTGTAAAAGTTACATAGTTGAAGGGAGGCAACTCCCAAAAGCAATACTGCAAGGATTTCAAATACTAGGTACGTTGCAGTTACCTCTCTTCCCATTTCATTACAACTTAAATAAAACACCATTGGTAATCTTGTTCTGAAAGAACTTATTGTAATATTGCTTGATTAAGAATATCCATGCAATGTTCTCTTACTTTAAACAATTATCATAAAAAAACTCTTGAACTGATCAGCAACAGATTCCTGGATGTACTATTTTCCGGTCTCTATCGGTAATTCCCGGTCTCTGCCAATATATTGAATGATTAATCATAATTTACTGACCTTTTCAAGGTCATTTTAGAATCTTAACGTCGGTCAATATGACAATAATAAATTTTTAAAATTTGTATAATAAAAAGATAGTAATAAACGTAATAACTCGATATTAAAATAGCACATAAAACACAAAAAAGGAAAACATTTTTATAAAAGATGAAGAAAAAGACATATTAAAACAGATATCACAATTACTGTATGATAAAAACAATGATGCTCAACGTGATTATTCAATCAGTGTCATATTTTTACTAAGTGTGAACAGATATCTTTAGGTATTTAAATTACAGTAATGATGGGGACTTCGTTAATAGCGATTACATAATAAGGGACAATAAACTAGTGTGGTGTTCATCATGCGTTACACAAATAGATTATAAATGATTGTATATGTCTGTTGCCATTGATAATCACGATATTACATTGATGAACATAAATATAGTAACAATTATAATTATAAATTAAAATGTTATGATTAAAAAAAGATGACTTTTGCAATTTTTTTTTTTCAAAATCGGCATGATGTATTATTCATAATATTATAACGAAAATTTATGCAACAACAACAACAACAAACAAGAGCATCAAAATCATACACATTTCAAATTCTACGTAATTCTAGTTTCATTCATAACATTTTATGATCACATAAAGTAATTATTGTCATTCCCAGTAATTTATACATTAATATCTTTGATAAAATTATTTAATTAGTAACAACAAAAAAATACATAATTAAAAAAAACAACAAATAATTTGAAACGAAATACATTATATACATGTACGAAAAAAATAGCTTTTATATGACTGTGCGTCACACGGACCACCTAAAATGTATAAAAATGTATAAAAATCTACAAAAAACATCATTGTGTTAACAACAGGGTTATGGTATGACCAACACCATTTGTTTAATATTTTTTCAACATCTTGAGCTTCTTCTAATTACACACACACACACACAAAAAAAAAAAAAAAAAAAAAAAAAAAAAAAAAAAAAAAATAGAGATTGTCTCCGATGATATGGAACGCTTATTACATTTTTTAGAAGCATACTGAATTAATTAAAGCTTAACACATTATCTCCTAATGGTATGAATGCAAAAGTTTTGTACAATATATAACTTCGTCATTATTGAGCCGGTATACATATACATGTAGTATGTTTTTTCTCATATCAAGGTGTTTTATTATTATTAATTATGAGAATTTTTGTATCACATGTGCAGATCCATATTATATTTGTGTAATTTATTGTATATTGCTGTATTTATATTCATGAAAGATTCTGTATTTATTTGACAAAGTTTTTTATTCCCACGTTAACGTCACGTTCTGTTTAGCGTATAATTAAACGGACGTTGCGTCATTTGTCATTTTATAAACGTCAATTTTTTCTGAAAAAGACTAAACGTCGAAAGCTAAAGAAAAGCGTTTGTTTTTATTGAACTTATAATTACACAGGTATTTCGTAGTCCGTCTCAGAAAGTATGTTTAGTAACGAAAACTGACATGGTCCCTTCCTCCACTTTGAAGCCTAACACGTTTTCAATACTATACAGTGTACATTTTTGATCGATACCTGGGCAAACGCAATAGCTGTAAACGACACAATGAACATCTTGAACGCACATTATGTGACATTTCAATTCGTCAATTGTTTCACCTTTCTTAAGTTGATATTTCCTGGCAATTCCGACAACCGTCGTGTTGTGAAGAACTAGGTTGGCATTAACTTTTCCGACAAAGAAAAGACTTTTCCATTCTTTCTCGTTACCAGCTGCTATTTCAAAACGAGTATCTTTTTTGTAGAGATAGCACGTTTTGTGATGAACATCTGAGCTGCTACATTTATCGCAATATGTTACAGCCGAGCATTCCATCTGCCTTAAACAATAATCGACGCATTCTTTATATGACAATATGTGTTCTGCATAATGTGCATATAATCTCGTTTTGCTAAGCATTAATCCAGGTGTGAGAGCCTGGCAAGACTCGATGTCCCCTTTTGCAAGTAAGTATTCACAGTATACCGATTTATACTTTCTAATAGTTTGAGATATCTTTTCGAGGTTTACATTAACTTTGGTCTTATCCATGTACCTTTCCGTGAACAGCTCTTCTATGGACTCTAGTTTGTATTCAGATGGTACAGGACTCTCTTTTACCGTGGATGCCCACGTCATAGCATCTCCGTTAGCAGGAGGCGCTGCCCCGACTGTAATCGTTTTCGTTTCTACTGATTTAGAGAAATCGGAAGCTTTTTCTTTTTGTGAATATTCCATTGAAAAGCTTGCACCAGCGCTAACTGCACCCGAGTAGCTTGCTGAAACACCAACGTCAATCCCTTTTTCACTCTGTGACTGAAATGTTTCGGACTTCATTTTATGTTCGTATGTAAATCTTGCACCAAATTTTACTTCGGTGGCAAAATGAGTCCCGTATGTTTCAAAGAACTCAATATAGATATCTGTATTATCTGTATTATTCAATCGCAAAATCCATTGAAAGAAATCAGGATTAAATGGCGGGGGTGAGCGTTGGACTAATTTAGTAAAATAGTAGTTGCATTTAGCGGTAGATATAATAAAAACTGACTCGCCGGAAGCCATTTCAGATGAAGATTCTTTATACCCGGCGCTTGCCGAAAAGCTAACACCCCATCCACCTCCATTAACACTGGCGGATACTGACAGCGATTGTGCATACTCGTAACTGGTTTGCACTACCTTTGACGAAAACGATGTAACACAGGAGACATCAGGAGCCACTACAAGACCCTTCGGAACATTATATCGGCAGTCAGCAGTCTGAACCCCGTTCTTATAGTCGGCAGTAAATATTGGCAACGTGAAACCAGGATCGTGTCCTGTTGCCAATGGGTAACCTCGTAGAACGTTGTAACCCATCAAAGCGTAGTCAATATCCGGAAAAGTCACCTTGTACTGTGTTCCCTGGCATTCTTGTAGTTGAAACAGATGACCCGATCCTAATATAAGATTCAATGTAAATGAATAAGTTGTATAAGGTATGATTAATTCAATGGCAGATATATGAAATGTTCAAGCAATACAAGGCAATAAGCTGCTTAGATGTTATCGAAACTTATTATAATTATAAGAAATTTTTGATAAAATAAAAATAAGAATTTTCTTTTCGTTCATGAAAAAACTTCTTTTAAGTTCTACTCTTTTTATATCAAATCAACAACAAACTTTTTTTGTCAAATTCAATTGAAATAATAAATAGTTTAATACAGAAAAGAGATACCAATGCTTAAGAATAATCTTGACATTGCTGCATCCGCTGTCTGTCTTGACGGAGCACTAGATGACCCACTATCAATATTTATTGCATCTCTGAAATGCAAACAATAACCATAAAAAAAATAAAAATGGAAACATCCCCGATACCACCAACTAGAACCAATCCTATTAGAGGCGTGCGAATGTTTAAAATGATAATAATCATGTATGCGATATTTGTGTACTAAGAATTTTTTTGTGTGTTAGTATTCATATGGAACAGCTTCCACGCATGATTTGACAGTTAAAATTCAAAACGCTCTTGGTCCGTTTGAGGACGCATTCGTCACAGAAAAGGATAGATCAATAAATCATCCATTAAATATATACACTTGTTTTGCTGGTACTCAACATAAAAAATACAAGCTACTTTGAAATCCAATGCCAAAGGGCGGTTTGTACCATCTGATCTGGATTGAAGATCTAATCAAACTCACCGGTTAAATGTCGACTGTTTATTTCCGAAGACATATATCATAGTAGCAAAATTTGAAACTGCAAACACAACAACCACCAGAATGACCATCGTTCTTTTAAAACCACACCATTTCTGAAGGAAATCCTCATTCAATGATATATTAATTCGTCAATTAATTTGAGTCAGTATTTGCTCACATATGAAGCTTGAATATGAGACCAAATTGTTATAATATTTCTTCTGTACTGAAATACCTGTTCGTTTTTGGTTTTGTGTAATTGAATAAATTGGGAATATTCCTTGTTATACTGTGACAATATTGACATGAGACTGATTTTTGTTGTTTATTAAGAGTTACGCATTAGGTTTTGATTATATAGTTCTCGATACTTAATTACTACGGTCAAATGGCCTATTAGCAATTTCTACCGAATTGTTATCGCGTAGTTCGAAACATCCGCAAACCATCTTTTAAAAATAATTTGTTTTAAACATACAATACAACATGAGTGGATACATTTAAGTTCTTGTGTGTATTACTTTTGCTCACTGGAGCACAAAGTGCTCAGAGGTGAACTTATGTTATCGCTCTCCGTCCGTTGTGCGGCTTTTATTGCTTCAAATATTCTTTAACCAACATATCATCCTATATTAATATCCCAATACCAGTATAATTAAAATTTAGCTGGGATGTTTTGACATAAAACTCTTTATAATTTTATTTTATGCAGAACATATCATGGAAAACGACAGAAATAACTCGGCCACAGGGATTATAGTGTTTTCTGGGGGTTTAAATTGGCCCTGCAACAGGATCATTGTTTTCCTGTTTATGTCCATATGTAGTTCAAGACAACCATGATGATCCTTACATTACACACGTTCATTGCTTCATGATTAGAAATATTACCATATGAAATGTATTTATCTTGAACTGATATCACAAACTTCATATATGCATCTGAAAAAGTTCAAATGAAGAAAAAAAAATGCCTTCCCTCAACAACTTGTGACTCCGTGGTGGTCGTGTTGGTAGTTTTTTTACTCCGGATCATGGCATACAGCCACATTGCATTTACCATAGCACAGTGCATCCACAGTAAAGTTTTTGGGCAGGTTGTCAAGCAGTTTACAATCACTAGTTGCCTTCACTTTCGCAAGGAACTGAATTGACATTGACTTTTATAGCAACCGTTGACTTTCCTTAGCAACCAATCTCTTTTCCAAGCAATTATTGACTTTCCTTACTCACTATTGACATCCATGGCAACCATTTACTTACTAGTATCATATCAACCATTGACAAACAAATGCAATCGCTGATTTTTAAAGTAACAATTAACTTGCATTGCAACTTTTTACATCCAGAGCAACTATTGACACCTTTGTCAACTAAAATCTTTAATAGAAACCGTTGTCAACCAGTGACTTCTTTAGCAGCCAATGACTTCCATAGCAACCTTTGACTTTCCATAGCAATCAGTGTTTTTCATATTTTTGATCTATATCAACTAGTGACAGCAACTGATTGATTTCATATCAACCAGTAATTTCAAAATTAACCATTGACTATACAAAGCAACCAGTGACTTCAAAAGCAACGAGGCTTTCCCTGAAAAATTATCGATTTTATTAGCTACAACTTACTTCCTCCGCAACCAGTAACTTAAATAGCGACCGTTGACTTTCCATAGAATAAAATATGAATAAAGAAACTATTACATTTTCATAAAAGCAAGTGACTAACACAGCAAACAGTAACTTCCATAACAAACATTGATTTTTACATAGCAACCAGTTAATTCCATAGAAATCGTTGGTTTTCCATAGTTACCAGCTAACTACCATTGATTTTCATAGTAACCACTGATAATAGTAAGCAATGATTTTGTACAGCATTTAGTTATTTCCACAGAAACTTTTAATTTTTCTTTTGCAAAAGCAAGCAGTTACTTTTTACATGTGCACTTTCTTAGATGCAGATTTCACCTTTGTGACATCAGTTTAAGATTTAGATAATGTATCTACTTTTCATCGATAGTTAATGATAGATTTTTTCCTTGTTAGTGAGAGCCTTCAAAATCAGATAAGCGATATAAGGATCATCTTGGCTTTTTCTAATACTTTGAAACTTTTGATAAATATGTAATGTTTCATTAATTGTAATATGTAATAAAGACATTTAAAAGTGATTCGCATTCACAAAAAATATTTTGGTCAAGTTTCACAAAATATAATGAAGAAAGATAATTAAGAGAATATATGATGCCTCAGATTATAATTTCCAAACAATAACAAAATATGACGTATGTTATAAACAATATAAATCAAAACTCTACTGTTGTCTTACTCTTATGAAATTGCAAAAACATTATTTATTTTAAATATCTAGTTTGAAACGTTTAGACAATACCTTACGTCTACCATTGGCCTTTTTAACATCTTGTTCCACACTATCCATATTCTGACTGAAACAAGGCAGCATTGACATTACCTTTCGTATGCTATTGCATTTTTCCAAATCTTCTTCTACAAAATTTTGTGTGCAGCTATTTTCAGATGCCATTCCTCCTGTTTTGGTAACAAATTATCAGTTAGAAATGTTTTTACCTGGTAAGAATACTTTCATACGAATGGCAAGTAGCTAAATGTATGTTTACTTGCAGTGGATTTGGAAATTTTCTTGGCACAAAACATGTTGACCTCGTAATTTCAAGTAATTTTTCACGTTTGATTAATTATCTATTGTAAATAAAGATAGATGGCTCAATATTTTAACGGTTACTGAAAGATATATCTATTGTTCTATGTTTGCACGTATAAGAATGAAAACATGTTTGATTTTTAAAAAATGCGAGAGGAAAATAATGACCGTGTCGGAGAATTAGGCTACGACAAGTTATATACAATGTGTATATTTTTATTACAAAACGCCACCAGCACACGTTCCAAATTTCATAACTGTACATTCAGAATAAAAAGAAGGTCAAAATATCGAAAATGTATGTCAGCTAAAATTAATCTGTATTCTACATATCTTAAATGTGCATATGGGGTAATTTGTTTTTGATTTCATCAAATTAAAAACATAAAAAATAGATCACTTGTTTAAATCTAAATCAGCTTGTATCATCGTTCAATTCAAAATATAAAATATGACACTATACTCTCTGCAAAATACCCACAAGGTAGGTCACAAGGTAGAAACCAAGATATTAAACTGATATGGAAGTTAAATTTCGATAAACGAATTTCAAAGTGATTCATCATAACTAAGAAAGTCGCTAGATCAAAACAGAGGTCAGCTCATTACAGCGTTCAATTTTATTTATAAACTTGTTAGCATGGTCCAAAATTAATGACTGTTTATTGAAAAAATAAAAACAGTATGTCACTAGATCAAATTAAGGTCAGTTAATAACTGTCCACATGGTTCGATTTTTTTTCTTTAGCTATACATTTAAAAAGAACATTAGGTAAGCTTTGTAAAAGTCAATTCTGTATTGAAACTGTACACAATGTTCAAATTGAAAAGCTGCACTATAAAACTGTTTTATATATACTTGGCTTAGTAACGTTTTTTTTGGAGCTCAGATTAAACAGCTAGAAACTATCAAAAGGCATTTTCTGGCAAATTCCACTGATGATGTGATTGAAAATGTTACCTTTGAGTGTTTTCCCTTTCCATATTTGGACTTTGTGACTTAGTGTCTGATCTATCACATATAGCTCATATTTAAATTTATGCTTAAAAATAGCAAATGATCTTTCTGACAAATTTCCAGGATAATATGACTATAAATGTAACCTCTCGACCTCTCGAGTGTTAACAATGCTTGATGGATGGATGGATGGATGGATGGATGGATCGATAGATAGATAGATAGATAGATAGATAGATAGATAGATAGATTTTGTAATTTAGCACTTTTTGAAGGTGTGAGTTTAATAAGGACCCATCCGCCGTTTCAGGCACTGAGAGTACGGACCCAGCACTTTATACAATTTAACTTCAATATGAGGAAAGCTTTTACATGGAAGCTTCTTATGCGGATGTATCTTGATCATATGAGCGGCGTCACGACAAAACAAACATAGTGCGTTTGCGACCAGCATGGATCCAGACGAGCCTGCGCATCCGCGCAGTCTGATCAGGATCCATGCTGTTCGTTTACCAACGCTATTACAAGTAGAGAAACTGATAGCGAACATCATGGATCCTGATTAGACTGCGCGGATGCATGCTTGTCGCAAACGCACTATGTTGGTTTTGTCGTGACGCGGCTCATTTCTACCTGCAATACCCATTTACAGGTCATAGATCAAGGACACTGTGTCCTGTATTGTATATTTTGTTCAGGTATATTTTCTCAGAAAATATCAAAAAGTGGCGCCATATTACAAGGATAATAATATTTAAGTTATATCTCCATCATTTTCCTACGTTTTTTTGTGAATTTGTTAACCTTTGATTGTCAAGGTTTATTTCTCAAAAACTACCAATGACTTATTATGCGCTTTAGAGTAGGAATGCTTATTTTTCAACAATGTAAACGCTTCTCTGAAGGGCAGATAACCCTGAAAATAATTTTCCTCCTTTTAATGTTTATATTTTTTCCTATTTTCTCAAAAACCGTCACAGACAATCATTTTAAATTTGAGACGCTTGTTTTGGCAAAACAATGTCCTTTTTTGTACCTACTTTTCTTTCATTACATTATCAAGAACTGAGAAAAAGGAGCGAATTGCTCCACGCGCATTTCTTGTTATATAAAGCATGGTTTACACATTCCTCATTAAACACTTATTACATTCGTTTCTTTTTCAGGAAAAGAATGATGACATCATTTTTTGGAAAAGGATAGGTATAAATTGCTAAAATATTTTAACCAGGTTGCATGGTCCTATATTTAAATAAAATACATAGTCGAAACTGAAAACTATCTTCAAAATTGTAACATTGTATATAAGACACAGGTAGTCATCGAGTTGACTTAAAAGGATTTTTTCCTCTATTATTCAAACGAAACCTTCCTACATGCAATCAAACGATGTAAAGGAATGTTATTGAAATTGTCGTCATCTACGAAATTTGATATTTCTTAATATGTATTAAATTCTGTTTCGTTGGGTTACGTGTTCATCTTTTGATAATTTTTGTTTGTTTGATTGGGTTTTTCGTCACACCGAAACAATATAGGTCTTTTGGCGACGTTCCAGCTTTACTGGAGGAGGAAGACCTCAGGTGCCCCTCCGTGCATCATTTAGGGCACACACGGGTAGAACCACGGACGATCCGTAAGCTAGCTGGATAACTTCCTCACATGAAAGAATCCAAAGTCCCTGTCGGGATTCGAACCAACAGCGGTGAGGGGCAAGTGGTTTGAAGTCAACGACCTAAACCACTCGGCCACGGACGCCCCTGATAATTTTTGAATTTGAAGGTTAGTCATTAACATAACAACTTTAGAAAGGGACGGAATAATTTATAAAAGAAACGAACATGTATAACCTGAACTCTTTAGATAGAATTATTATTTCTTTTATCGATTTATACAAAAATATATCTTTTTTAAGTATTAAGTTTAAAAAGAACAATAGCCTTAATTGTTTAACTTTTTAAAGCGCAATAGTATGGTGGCTGATTTGGTACGCTTTTGTGCGTCTAGTTGGCCAATCTCCACGCAGTAACCTCCCTTTAATTCATTGGCACCACGGTTAGATATATCAGAATTTCTGATAAACTATATTTTTAAAAAAAAATGTTTTATCTACTGCTTTTTTCTATCAGTTAAGTTTTTTCTCACTGATAAAACAATGTTTATAGATTAATAAAATAATTAATATGAATATTAAAAAATAATTTTAAAGATTATGAGAATATTTTCTACCGAGACAATATTTTGATATTCTATACTTTTTAGCTTTTGAATTTATTTTTCGTTATTTTGTATACTTTGGATAATTTTTTGATTAACTATATCGAAAGTAGGTACGAAAAGTTAAAAATAAACAAAAAGAGAAAAATGACGTTAGATTTTCTATGTAACGGTCGATATTTTCATTTGAATTTCGACGTTACGTTATGTGACTTTCATCATCATGTGACGTCTGTGAAGGCAGTGATTACAATTCTGCCAAGGGAGATAATCACTGTGAGGAGTTTGCTAGTTTGCGCTAGCGACAACACGACAAAGCGCCAAACGGTGCGTTGTCGCGCAGTCGTCTTGTCGTCCTGTCTCTAGTGCAGAACGCCAAACGGCGCGTTGTCGTGCGGCGCGTTATCACAATGTCGCCCTGTCGCTTGGCTTATAAGCCAATCCTTCAATTTGAACCGACCGACAATGTGACATCGCGACAACAGCGCGACCGTTTTGCGCGCCGCGCTAGAAACAGGTCGACCAGACGACAGCGCGACAACGCGCCGTTTGGCGCTTTGTCGTGTTGTCGCTAGCCCCAACGCGACACACAGAAGCGTATAAATCAGCCACCATACAATATACAGTACAGTAGAAAGATCGAGCGGGTGTTTAATTATAAAGACATTTCGATGTTTGGGAAGATCACTGATTTCCCCTTGTGGCTGAGTGGTTGGCCTTAGAACTACAGTCATCGTTTATCCTTGCATGGTCGTAATAGGCGACTAAATGTGTTTGAATTTGAGGTAAAACAGTTAAAAATTCCGATGCAACAACCATAAATTGGAAGTGTTTAGTTTAAAGTAAAGTCCTAAATTAATACGAAATTTAAAGTTTATTTCTGTATACGCATATGTATTATTACACTGAATGAGTGAAATAAATTAATTAACAAATAAAATCAAACACACGTAAAATTGAGTAATTTGTGCAAAATTATGGATTGCTTTACAACATCTTTGAAAAAGAAAGTGCAAAGCAAAGCTTGCATTGCCGTGTCATACGTAATAGAAAGAGCACCGAAACACGAGGCTATCTGATTTGTACGAGGGGGCGTAGCCCCCGAGTATTAATCAGATTGCCGAGTGTTTTGGTGTTCTTTCTCTTTTGTATCATAGTCAAACATAAAAGCACGTTTCCTGTTGTCACAATATGAAACCCCGGCAAAAATGAACCAATGAACGAACATCTGAATATGACATTTCTGTCGCTTTCCCTTTCTCTGCCGTCACAATATGTAAACCCCAGCAAAAATGAGCCAATCAATGGGCATGCTCTGGAGTGCGGGTAACTAATACCCGCACTCCAGTTAACGCACTGTGCATGTATATGTATACCATTTAACCCTGACACATTTTCAACAGAAAGAACTCCAAACTATGATACAATAATGTTTTGTAGGATAATTAATCTTGAAAAATGGAACACTTTGTATGTGTATGTATGTGTTTCTTAACAAAATTGTCGTGTCAATTTCCAACACCAACATCTACGCAGTCGGTAAGGCAATTATTTGTATAAATACTTGATTAAAATGCAAAAATATATAATAATTATAAACACTATATCAGTTTAACAGTCACTCTCACATCACATATGAGCCGCGCCAAGACAAAACCAAGATAAAGTGTTTGCGACCAGCATGGATCCAGACCAGCCTGCGCATCCGCGCAGTCTGATCAGGATCCATGCTGTTCGCTGTCAGTTTCTCCACTTGTAATAGAGTTGGTCAGCGAAAAGCATGGATCCTGATCAGACTGCGCGGATGCGCAGGCTGGTCTGGATCCATGCTGGTCGCAAAAACCCTATGTTGGTTTTGTCGTGACGCGGCTCATACAATATATTAGACACTTATCGAACATCATAACTTAAGGAAATTATATCAGGTTCAAATATTATTCTCGTTATTTTAGACAAAATTAAAAAAAAAAATTTTCACTAGAAAATGTTAAAAGATCTGAAAGCAAGAAGTAATGTTAAACAGAACTTAAATATCTGAGCAATTTAACTAGGAGTTAAAGAAGTATTCTGCACATTTTATTGTAGACCTATCCTTTAAATTTTATTTCACAATGGCAATAACTATCCTTTACAATTTAGTTTAGAACTTTCTTAGCATGACAAGAACTATCCTTTATATTAAATTTTAGAATGGCTAATGAGATTCAAAGATTTCATCTCTTTATATTTAAATGACCAATGAAAGCTTCTTATATTCAGTTCTTCCCTGTAAATTTTAAAGGAGGTCAAACTGAAAACAGACCGGCCTCCGGCCGAAAAATGATGTATTTTCGGTCGGAATCTAAGAACAAAAGCAGGTGCTCCCTTGTACTTTGTTTAATGAACGGGTCAACTATTCCGTAAGCTAGCTGGTAATCGGCTAGCATAGCTAAAAATAATTTCTAAGCGGATGATTTGAAGAATTTAATAGTCTTACCTGGTAAAATAGTGCCTTGAAAGTTATCACCGATTCAGTCGTTTTCTCTAAACCAAGTCAAACTTTTAAATAATATAAGGAATTATTTTCAACTAGAGCTCTTGTATCTCATCCCATCAACGACTTAAATATTTATATAAACACTCAGTTTTGTATATATTAGTCACAGGTCAACTGTTTCTTAGTAATTTTCCTCTTTTCCGGGTATTAAACAAATGACATCAGATGTACTCGTATTATTTTACCGTTGCACTTTCGTGTCTTTAAATTTACACTACATGTCAGAGAAAACGTTTTATAATTAAAAAAAAAACAACATAATTTCATATTAATGTACAACAAATCATCCAAGTTTTATCTCATTCAGAACAAGTAGGGCATTGAAACTTAATTTTAAGCCCTTTGGACATACAAAATATAACGAACAGTTCATACAAATAACAACAATTTCATCATATCAACATATTTATATTATTTGAAACTGTAAAGATGTGTTTCAAACCTTATTTATGTGCGATATTTGACTGATTTTGCAGTATTCATCAAATATTAAATGTCCTACCGATACTCCAATACGCACAGGCGTAAAAAAAGAAAAAGTTTCGATAAAAATAAAATTTCAAAAATGAAATCATTAATTTGGGCGTAGATCGATCAACATATTTGTAGCTGCTAATTCTACTGGTATGCTTAGGATGTTATCTTATTCGAATATGCGTTACCTTTTAGGCACAATCAGCACTTCAATTAAGAAGAAAGGGAGTAAAAATATGATATAAACAATTTCTTTGGAATTTTCTCTTTTTCCAGCTTGAGTTAAGCGTTATAATGCAAATAACCCTAGTCAAAATCCAAATAAGGATAAGAAATTGTCCAATATATTACAATCATTTTTTTTTTATAGAAGAATCGAATCAGTGAAAAGTAAACATTTAATTCATTTTTTACATCTAGATCTATATGCAACTTGGCGTTTGCAGCACAATGGAAGGGAGTGAGTTAGCTGTATGGAATGTCTTTTTATATTTTACCTTGTAACTATGAATCAGTACATTATTTTTAAGTTAGTAATATTCATTCAACTTATATTCATTTCAAATTACGCAGAATAGTTTTTCAACAACATAGACAAATATACAACGAGAACAATGTATGATATCATGTCGAAATTCTTATTTTTTCGCCGACTTTAGATAACAAATTGGCGAGCATGCCTTATGTGCGTGTGGCATTTAACTTCGCTATTTATTGTCAACAACATTGACATAATGCGCATTAAAAATATTTTAAGGAAGCTAAATGATCATGCGATTAGTACTACATTTTAGCTGTGAATACGATAACTTCGTTACACTAAACATTTAAGCTGTTGTGTTTGTATTTAAGTCATACAGATCATTTTAAAGTATATTTTCTTTGATTATATCTCACGTCAATTTATGGTGAAACAAAAGAAAAATAACAAAGAAAAAACTAAACTTGTTACAAAAGAAAATAAAACCCATCTTGTTTACAAGAGAGACACCTGGCTATGTTTTGTTTTTCTAAAAGCAAATAACTTTTGAACTATTTAAAACAGTGTACACGTAAGACTTCGTGCTATTTCTCTGACATTCCATATATGTGCTTGATGTTATTTTCATAACTATAGATAAAGACAATAGTACTACAATTAGCTTAGATATCCCCTAAATCCTTATTTATATCACATAGCTATATTTGATACAAAAGTCTCTGGCGATACTTCTGCCAAAAACCGGCACTCGGCGTACACTCAAAATAAGCCGAGGTACGCCTCTGAATGTGCGTAGTAAATATAAATAATTTGCTGAACCTTAAAAGCACATTATGTCTCAAAAACGAATAATTTGTTTCTTTTTTAGAAAGGGCTAACATGAGTAAAATAATGTTTAAAAAATAAGGGTTTTAGAGCATAAAAATGCTTGTCACCTAAGACTGTAGCCTTAAATGTGAAATTATTTGACATAAAAGTAGCAAAATGTAAACAAAAAATTAATGTATTTTGACTTCTATACAAGATACTAAATCATTATAATCATACAAATTGCTGAAAGGCAACGGTTCAGATATTTAGGCAATGAGGAACATTTTGGAAATAATATCAGACACTAAAAAATAGTTTGCAAAATCAAAAGTAACTAGAACTGTGTCCAAAGGACACGGATGCCCCCACTGACAACATATATATGGTATATAGTGAAAAAATCAACAAAGGGCCATAATTCTGTTAAATTTGGTCGCAGCAAAATTCCTTCCTTTACTTCCATCTACACATTAAGGTTGTTCATCCCTGGAAGTTTAAGCAAAATCTGCAAACCGGTTTAAGAGGAGTTGCGTTTACAAAATTTCTATATGGTATATAGTGAAAAAATCAACAAAGGGCCATAATTCTGTTCAATTTGGTTGCAGCGAAAATTCCTTCCTTAACTACCATCTACACATTAAGGTTGTTCCTCCCTGGAAGTTAAAGCAAAACCTGCCATCCGGTTTAAGAAGAGTTGCGTTTACAAAATTTCTACATAGTATATAGTGAAAAAAATCAACAAAGGGCCACAATTCTGTTCAATTTGGTCGCAGCGAAAATTCCTTCCTTTACTACCATCTACACATTAAGGTTGTTCATCCCTGGAAGTTTAAGCAAAATCTGCCATCCGGTTTAAGAGGAGTTGCGTTCGCAAGATTTCTAGACGTACGGACAGACAGAATACGGACGGACGGACAAGTGCAACGCTATATTCTCCCACTTAGTTGGGGCATCAAAATAATTTTTGGTAAATAATGAGCTTTAAATATATAATGCAGTCATATATCACGTGTTTGGTAAATGAAAAAAAATCGTCCTTATCATAACTCAAAATTATACAGCTGATATTGATGGACGTGAAGTACACGGGGCAACGGGCTAGCAGTCTAGCGGGCTAACAGTGTGAACTGGGCGGGCTAGCAGTCTAGCGGGATAACAGTGTGAACTGGGCGGGCTAGCAGTCTAGAGGGCTAGGAAATGTATCATAACGTTTTCATGTTTATTCAATTAAGTATTAAAGTTTATCCCGCTGGACAGCCAGCCGGCAAAGTTCACACTTCTAGACCGCTACACTGTTAGCCCGCCCACTTCATACTGCTTGGAAATGTTTAATGACGTTTTCACGTTGATTCAATTAAGTTTTAGAGTTTATCCCGCTGGCCCGCAAGACTGCTAGCCCGCTACACTGTCAGTCCACCCAGTTCACACTGCTAGGAAATGTATCATGAGGTTTAAATGTCGATTCAATTGAGTATTTAAAGTTTAGACCGCTTCC